CGTCACGAATGCCGCGCGTCACACTCCACCGGTGCGCCGCGCTCCCTCTCGTATCTGCCTTGCCTACGACGTTCACCGCCGCGCGACGTGACTGCCCAGGACGGGCGCTCAGCGGGCTCACTCAACAGCTCTCAGGGCGACACTCTGTGAAGCAAGGCAAATGCATTCTTCATTTCTTGCATCGCTCATCGTCACTCCCTCCCCTCCACGCCGTATCGTGCGCCGCCCCCTGCTCCTCTCGATGCCGTCGTCTCAGCCCCACGACAAGTACATCATACATGCTGCAACACTACCTATTTATTCTCATGTCATCATGCCGGCCCCCCGCGCACGACACGGACGCCAGCAGGCAGCGTATCGTCGTGAGCGGTCACGCGCGATCCCCGCGTCCTCACTAGCGCACACATCGCAGCCCGCTACTCACGCGCCGAGACGGCATACCGGGCGCGCACAGAACACGATGCGCGGTACTGCAGACCGCGCTGCGCGCGCCGCGCACACAGCAGGCAAGGGTGTGCTGCCCGACAAAGCCTCGCACGGGAGCCTAGAAGACGGCGTCGTCAGCGCCTCGTGTGTCGACGGTCAAGAGCCGACGTGTGGCATACCTAGACACGCGGATCCGGCCTGTGCGCTGCCCGTGAAAGCGGGACGGCCGGTCGGCGTGACGTGACGTGCGTGCATGCGAGCAGAGGAACAGGAGCAGGTCAGCACACAAGCGCGATATGACGCGACCAAGATCACGCACCCACCCACACGCCGGGAGGGTCGCACATAGACGTCCCGCGCCCGCACCCGTTGCTCGAGACGGATGGCACGGGCCGCTCAGGGGGCGCGTTCATCGGTACGTGCAACGTGCGGGTGCAGCCTGACGACGTCTCCGCCGACGCTCGCACCATCTGATCATCCCGGCTTCGGCGCATCGCCATCCTGCTCAAGGCGGATCCCTCGCACATGCACTCCCGGTCCGAGTTGTGCCCACTTGGCCCACGCATCGCGCAACACGCCGTTCCCCTGCGCGCTCGCCTCACGCCACACTCGCATCCCGCCGTCCCACGCACACCGGGCCTCTCTCCTCATCGGTCACACG